TGAACTGGGTACATCAGTTGGAAATGCAGAAATCATCCACCTTCTGTGTTGATCTCGCTGGGAGCTGCAGACTGGAGCTGTTCCTGTTTGGCCATCTTGCTAGCCCTCCTTCCCCATGTTTTCTTTGTCTTTGTTGGATTGGGTTAATTTGAAAGCCTTGTCTTTGAGCTCTAAAATTCTTTCCTTTACTTGTTCAATTCTATTTTTGAAACTTTCCAGTGTATTTTGCATTTCTCTAAGTGTGTCTTTCATTTCCAGAAGTTGTGATCTTTTTTTAATGATCTATTTCTTTGGAGATTTTTAAAAATTCATATCCTATATTATTTTTAAAGTTTCTTTAAGTTTGTTTTCACCTTTCTTTGGTGCCTCCTTGAGTAACTTAATAATCAACCTTCTGAATTCTTTTTCAGGCAATTCAGAGATTTCTTCTTGGTTTGCATCCATTGCTGGTGAGCCAGTGTGATCTTTTCATGGTGTTATAGAACCTTCTTTTGCCATGTTACCAGGATAGTTTCTCTGTTTTTTCTTTCTTTCTTTCTTTCTTTTTTTTTTTTCTCATTTGGATTGACTATTTCAGAGGGAAGATCTGGGGCTCAAGGGCTGCTGTTCACATTCTTTTGTTCCATGGGGTGATCCCTTGATGTGGTGTTCTCCCCCTTCCCCTAGGGATGGGGCTTCCTGAAAGCATGACTACAGTGACTGTCATTACTCTTCTGGATCTAGCTACCCAGCAGAGCTACCAGGCTCTAGGCTGGTAGTGGGGAGTGTCTGCAAAGAGTACTATGATGTAGTTCATCTTCAGGTCTCTCAGCTGTGGCTACCAGCACCTTCTCCAGTGGAGGTAGCAGGGCAGTGAAGTGGACTCTGTGAGAGTCCTTGGTTGTAGTTTAGTGTGCTGATTTTCTCAAATGCTGGTTATGCTGGCAGTGATGTTGTAATGTGAACAGACTCCGGATCTCTGGTTAGCCAGGATGTTACAGGCAGTGAAATTAGCTGTTGTTTTCTCCTTCCTTGGAGTAGGGTTGGTCTGTTATGAGTTGCTGTAATGCCTTGAGTTAGTTGGCCTCCAGCCATGTGGTGTTGCCTTTAAGAGAGCATCAGCTATGGCAGTGTGGAGGGTTACAAGCTTGGCCTAATGTCACCTGGATAAGTATTTAGGTTTCTTAGGTAATGGAAACCATAGAGCTCCCCTTAGTTTATGTCTTTTGTCTTCGGTTACTAGGGCAGGTAGAGAAAGACTATCAGGTGGGGGCAGAGTTAGGTGTTTCTGAGCTTAGACTTTTCCTGTGTTGCACTTGCTATGACCACTGTAAGGGGTGTGGTGGTGGTTCTCAGGCCAATGGGCCTGTTGAGGGAGTACAGACGGAGTGAGACTGGCCTTGTTGGCTGTGTGGGAGCTGGGTAAGGCCTGTCAATGCCAGCTTTCCCCCTACTTCCCTGGCAACATGTACAAATCATCAGTGGCAGCCATGTGACCTGAGAGTCTTTTTTTTTCCTGCCAATAGGTTAGTTTTCCTGATTGTATTTATTGATACAATAAGCATCAGCTTTGAATTATTCTTGTGTTTCTGTAATAAACTATTTGGTAATGATGTATTTTTAAAAGTGATGTTAGATTATGCTGGCCAATATTTTATTTAGCATTTTTATGTTGGTATGCTTAAGTTGAATGGTTTGTACTTAAACTTTGTTACTGTGATAAAAACATATAACATTAAGTGCATCATCTTAACACTTTTTAAATGTGCATTTCAGTAGTGTTAAGTATATTCACCTTGTTGTGCAACAGATCTCTAGTAGTTTTCCATCTTGTAAAACTAAAACTCTATACCTATTCAATATGAATTCCTTTTCCTCTTCCTCCCAGTCCTTGGCAACACCTTTGTACATTCTGTATCTGATTTTGAATATTTTACTTTATATGAATGGAATCATACAGTATTTGTGTTTATGTGACTAGCTTATTTCACTTAGAATAATGTTCTCAAGGTTTATCTATGTTGTAGTATGTAACCGGATGTCTTTTTTAAAGGCTGCGTAATATTCTATTATAGCTATATACCATATTTTCCTTATTATTTTTCTCTTGATGGACATTTGGGTTGCTTCTACCTCTTGCTATTGTGAATAATGCTGTAATGAGTGTGAGTGTGCAACTGTCTCTTTGAGATCTTGCTTTAAATTCTTTTGGATATATTTCCAGAAGTGGGATTCTTGGATCATATGGCAACTGTATTATTAATTTTTTGAGAACCTCTCTGTTGGCCATAGTGACTGTACCATTTGACATTCCCATATAACAGTGCATAAGAATTCCAATTTCTCTGCATCTACATCAGCATTTGTTATTTTCTGTTTGTTTGATAGCGGCTATCCTAATGTGTGTAGGTGTATGTTGTGGCTATGATTTGCATTTCTCTTATGATTAGCGATGGTGACCATTTTTAATATGCCTGTTAGACATTGTGTATCTTCTTTGGTGATTTGTTTATTCAAGTCTTTTGCTTATTTTTGAATTGGGTTAATAATAATTTTAATCTGATTTTTTGGTTGTTGAGTTGTAGGAGTTGCCTATAGATTCTGGATATTAATCCCTTGTTGATTATATATTTTAATAATGTTTTTGTCATCTTATTTTTCATTCCATATGAATTCTTTCTTATTCTCTAAAGAGTATGTTTGTGTGTATGCACATATGTGCACATGTGGGTGTCTTACTTTGGTTGATTTGGAAGGTATATGTAGTCTTTAAATTATTTTATTGATTACCTTTATATTTTAAAATAATGTATCTAATGCTGTCTCCTATTTCTTATTTCCCTGCATATACAATTTTAGTTTTTTTTTTTTTACATTTTCAAGATTGATAAAAATGTGTATTCTATTCTTTAACTATGATTCCTGTATCTCTTTAACTTGAGCTTTATAGTTACATAGATTCGGCTCATCTTTTAGGTGCAACTTTTTTCCAAGTTCTCAGTCAATATGACAATCCCCACTTTACCTATAAGCCCACTGGTATAAGGAAACTATTACTAGATGATGGTCTTAATTTCTAATTAAAATAGATTGGATTTTTGGGATTATGATAAATCATTTTCCCTATATCTTTCATTAATTTGATGGAGCCTTAATCTCTGCCTAGCAATGTGAAATTTGTTTACTATCTTGATATGGAGAGATTCAAAGTGTTCTAGTTGGTCCTTTCAAACTTAAAATCTCTCACTTTGTGGTCAGAACTAACATGAAGATTATTCCTTTTATTGAGTTTATTCAAACTGTATAGTTAGAATCCAAAAAAAAAAAATGAGCACAAGATAGGTTTATGGTTCCATAGGCTCACCATGGAGTAGACGCTGATAAAATTCTATTTATTGCTTGACCCTGATATGCTTGCACTCTTGACTAGTGAAAAAATAGTGGCATTATAGATCCCCAAGAATTAATGTTAGTTGATGTGCAATTACCCATGTCTTAACATTTTAATCCTTGGTGCACAAGATAGTAGGAAGGATGCAGTATGTATGTGTGATATTATTTCAGAAAATTTCCACTAGAGTACCAGGTTTCCTTTTTATTCAAAGGACTCTCGGCTGATAAACGTATTTAGATCCAAAATTTGGTCACAAGGCTGTCATTCTCTGTTCTGGTTGCTCAAGTCAACCATCAGTTTGCCAGGCCATATTATAGGCATATTTTACTTATTCAGATTAAATAGGAACCATAGTGGTCTGGCCATCTCTTTGGTCTACATGTTCTTTTATGAGCTATTTCACACCTTGGAAACATATGTTGTATTAGAACAGACTTTCCCAAGGTCTCCAGACCAGGAAAAGTCAGAATTGCAGAGATAGTGCAGTTGTGGGTGATGGTTTCTTCCTTCTGCCCTCTAGAAGCCAAGATACATATTCTGAGAGTCATTACAGTCTGCTGGTTTAGAGAATGTACTTTGTCCTAAAAGACAGCATTCCAGCCCCTTAGTCTCCAATTGTGACTATAACTGAAGATCAACCATTGGTAGATGATAGGATACATAATAAGAACAATAAATACTCTTATATCAGTTTACTGCCAGCTTCTTTCATAGGGAAGTGAGTTCTGTGGTTAGGAACAGTGCAATGGGAGAGATAACATGGTGTATGCAAGGTATTCAGTGAGGATAGATACTGGCGTAGACATCATGGGCAAGTTTTACTGCCTAAAGTTCTGCACACTTGGAGATTTTCCTTTTCTAAGACCTCTATTATTCACTGGAGTTGTAAAAATTTTGTTCTTCAAATGGTTATCATGTTACAGGCACCCTACTTATTTGTTTATGTAGGCCAGGCTTTTCTTTTATCTTACTGAATAAATTCTATTTAGTGATATTAGCATATTACTCTTTCTACTCTGATCACAACTCTCCTTTCCATTTTTATCTTGACCATACATATCCTATTCTTCAGCAAAGTTATATATTATTGTCTAAGTATTGTGCTCTTTTCTATATTTATTCATGTATTGATTTTTGCTTCTCAGCTTTTCTTTTTACCCCTTATCTATCCCCTGTTGAAAACTTGTTCATTATTGAAAGTCCAATTGAAATGCACCTTTTTTCAACAGGGATGGAAAAATCTAATTCTGCCTGTAAAGGCTCGAAATATTTTAGATCTTTTTGCAACTTTTCACAGCTTAGTTACTTGTGTGTATCTCTCACTATGTAAATTTGTTCCATTAACTTTATTTTCAAATAAGAAAGCTGAGATTCAGAGTTTTAAGAGACTTATTCACGAGTCCATAGATATACACTACAGACAGATTAGAATAAAAAGATAATCAAAACCAAATAATATCTCTGTAGGAAGACACTAACTTTTCTTTTTTTCTTTTTGTTGTCTTATAAGATTGAGAGGTTAGTTATCTTTCTTTGTTAATACTTAGTAGGAAAGATTTTATAATAACATTCATTTGTGATTAGAGTGACGATTATGTTATTTGTACTTGGTATTTATTTTTAATAGGAAAAACTCAAAAGAGAGGCAAAAGAAAACACGTTTACTCTTAAAGAAAAAAAGGACAAGGTAAGAGCATGTAATTCTCATAGTTTTTAAATATTAATTCATTTTCCAACATCTACTTAGAAATGAATTTTTTTTTGTTTATAAGTAGGAAAATAACATTTTAAATATACAATTTTATTTTCTAAATTGTTTCTTGTTATTTATTAACTCAAAAGTATTTTAGCTAAAAATTACAAAATTTTGTCCTTTGGAGATTTAGAGAGAGTGTCAATCTAATGCATAAACAAAAAAGAAGAAAAAAGAATGTTTCAGTCTTTTTCTGTAATTCTTTTTATAGTTTTAATTAGGCACTTCTGTGTTTCTTAAAATTTTTTTTTAATATTAGAGGAAAAATATTTTCATAAATAATTCTAAAGCTTATTTAGATTATGTCTAATTTTGGGTTTTGAAGGGGTTTAATAAGTGACATCCTGTTTTCCTCACTTATGTTCTGAACCAACTGAGAAAGGCAAGGGAGAATAAAATTAGTATTTTTTATTATTGAAGACTTTATTAAGTATCGATATTTTAAAAACTGGAGAATGCAGCTTATATTTGAAGGCAAAAGGGTCTCTTAATTTTGAAATCCCAATTTAGACAGATTTATCTACTGTCACAAGTAGAGCTTGACTAGCATAAGTCTACCCACTCAATGGCTTGCTCTTGTAAAACAGAGTATAAAGGAGTAGAGAAGAATGTATGTGTAATTCCTATAGATCTGAAGAGGAGGAATAAGGAAGAGGCTGAGCTGTATGTGTCCAGTTTCTTCTTTTCTTTAAATTCACCAATCACATTAAGTAATTTTTTCCCCTAAATAAGGAAGACGGAAGAGTTTTGGAATGTTACCCTTGTGGTACTCCCTGCATGTGGAAGGAAACATCAGTCATAGAGAAGAAGAATACCCCTCAGCTTCTAACCTATTTGATAATATAGGGTTATTGCAGAAGAATTTTGATTTATCATTTTTAGTTAAAATGATTAATAATATTATTTATAGATAGTGATGTAGTCTCCTAAGTTCCTACACTTTGCTGTGATTATAATTAAAACTGGAAGGAAATGACACTCAGAGTAGTTTGAGAACAGTTCATTACATTTTATTAAATTTGGGTTAAAAGAAAGAGAATAAAGGAAAGACATATTGAACCTGTGAGTGAATATTGAGTGCTTCATTTATTCCAGACACAGTGCTAGACAGTTGAAAACATTATATTTGGAGAAATTATAATCATAATAAAATTAGCCAGAATGATTAGGTACAGACTTAAGGAAGTATCTAATGAATATAGCAAATTGGTTAATCTCTAATATTCTTTTCTAAATTTAGAATGTGTTTGTATTATGAAAGTATATATCACATATTCTTATAGAATATGTGTTCTGATTCATGTATCATTCTGTTTGTTTCCATTATCAAGTAGATTAGTAAATGCCATATATTTTATCTGAAAGTCTGGATGTATATGTTGCAAATTGAACCACCTTAATGTATTGCAGAATGACAAAATGATAAATGAAGAAATTTAACTAGGCTTTTTTTTTGCTATAATTTATTCCAACACTACTGAAATAGAAGCCTTATAAATAATAATTGTTAAATTTACCAAATGTTTCTGAGTTTGGACAAGCTACTTAACTTCTTTGTTCTTCAATTTTCTCATTTATAAAGGGATAATGATAATACCTATTTCCTAAAGTTGTTATGAGTATTAAATGAGATGGTATTTGTAAAACATTTAGAATAGTGCTTGGCACATAGCACATGCCTTATAAATGTTTGTTTAAAAAATACAGAGAAAATTATGAATGTTCTGTCTACATATATAACTGTAAATGTAACATTCTTTCAAAAAAGAATGTAACTTGTAAGGAAGTACACGTTCCAATAATGTGTTCTGGAAAGGGATAGTTCAGCATTCTCATATTCAGTACAGTTTTCTTTGGGCTACCACGAAAATGTTAAATTCCAGACATGGCCACAAGGTGGTGCAGTGACCTTAAATTGTCATTATCCTACTTGTAGGGAGTAACTATTTGTCAATGAAAGCAGTTACATTTTGGAGGTTCTAGAAGTTTACCCTGATTAATCCAGAGAGTAGTAAAAAATTGCTTTCATCAAAATTTTGTCATCAACTATGATGTATAAACATGTATGGAAAAGGATACAGAAATGAAACTCTGGAAAAAATGCTACCAAATTTCATACTTGCTAGAAAAAGGATTATGAAATGACAGATCACTAGAACTGGGCAAAAAAGATATAAGCCATCTCATTTAGCCCCTTGATTTATGGATGAATAAATTTAAGCTTGGAGATACTTGAAGATTTACTTAAAATCATTTGGAAAGACGTAAAAATCTAGGAGAAAATACCATATTATATACTTGGCTCCTAGTTCCGTGATTTTTTATAGTACATATGATTAACTCTTTATCCTATACTCTAATTTAAATGCACTAAAAGTTCAACCACCATGCTTTCCAATTTTGTCCTTGTAGTCCCTTTTTTCTGCGTGTGCTCTATTGTTTCTTTCATGAGTAATTGCTATGATTGTATTTGTGGAGATGGTGGCAAACAAAGAAAGTGGTAAAATCGAAAGTGATGAGCATGAGTTTCATGTAAATCCCACTAAGGCAACTAGTACTATCTTTTAATAGAAATCTAGGTAAGGTGCTAAAAGAAGCTGTATACAAAAGTAGAGTGAAAGATAACTGAGGAAACTGAGTTGAAAAACTGTCAAGTATTTAGAATAAACTTGCAATTTATTTATTTAGAATTGAAGCAAATAGCCATTTTGTCGATTTTTTCCCTGAAATTTTTTCTCATTCTTTACTTTCATAATTATTATCCTTGCTTTTGGAGGGAAGTGAGGCTGGTGGATAGGAAAAGGCTGATATTTTATAGGTGAAAAAGAAGAATTAATGTATGAAAGAGAATGAATGAAAATTAGAATAAATTTTCTTCTAGGCTGTTGGAATGAACCATAAATTAGGGCTTTTTGCCACCAGGAGTGCAGATTTTTTTTTTTTAAAGAGATTCTCAACTTTTGGTCAAATAGAGAGTTGAGAAATTTCATTTGTTTTCATTTTTCAAAATTTACTTTTAAGTGGAGGGGTACATGTACAGATTTCTTATATAGGTAAACTTGTGTCATGCAGGTTTGTTGTATAGATTATTTTGTCACCCAGATTTTTAAGCCTATAGCCACTAATTATTTTTCTGATCCTTTCCCTCCTCCCATCCTGCATGCTCTGATAGGCCCCAGTGTGTGTTGTTGTCTCCTTCTATGCGTTCATGTGTTCTCATGATTTAGCTACCACTTATAAATGAGCCCATGTGGTATGTGGTTTTCTGTTCCTGCATTAGTTTGCTAAGGATAATGGCCCCCAAGATGTCTTATTTGTTTTCATAGAGGCTCGGTGAAGATAGGCAGGGGCAGATAACATTTGCATCTTAAATGGCAAGTAAAGTGGCAAAGAAGATCACTGTAATTTATTCAAACTTCTCTAATCAGTGATAAATTTGGGGATAAATTTGCTTATTTCATTATTATTTCTACTAGTTGCTGTACTTTAATTAAAAGAAATAAATAATCAAAATGACATTTAATAATTGTTTTATTCACTCTTGTTGTTCAAAGCAGAAAACACAGACATATTTATTGGAAACATCTGAAATTTATCAGAAATTTGACTCTAAAGCAGTTCCTTCACAAACTATATCTCGAAATTTCACATCAGTTGATCATGGCAAATCCAAAGATAAAAGAGACTATCTGTGGACATCTGCCAGAAGTATTTTATCTACACCATTACCAAAGGTTTGTGTCTAAATTTTCCAAGTTAGTAGCAATTTTTTAATAAATAAATAAAATTCTGTTATCAGCATATACCTGGCATCACACACACATATATAACTAGTTTCTTGAAAGTTTCAATTTTTTTTTGTGGTGTCAGCATGAAATGTAAAGACAAGGTCTTGGTGTGTTGCCTAGGAGGGTCTTGAACTCCTGGCCTTAACTGATCCTCCTGTCTTGGGCTCCCAAAGTGTTGGGATAACAGGCGTGAGCCACTGTGCCTGGCCTTCAACATGAAATTGTTTCATCTTTTTCAATCACTGTCTACAACTTAATGTCATCTTGGCCAGATTTCATAACTTACTAGTTATTTATCAGTGTTTAAGGCCCTGACACAGGAAATCTGATTCTGACTTGACATTTTATAATATCGCTGAAGTTACCACTTCCGTTTGCTGTTTACCCCACATCACCTTGCATCTGTAGTCCTTTACTTAGCAGTTATCTTGGAGTAGATGACTCTAGCAAAGTGTCTCAATTCTGGCTGTCTTCCATACATCCACTTAATCCATGGCGAATTCATACAACTTTGCCATGCTAAATGGCAGTGCAGATGCTCTACTTTTAATCTCTTAGCTAATATTTGGACAGAAATTTCTTCAAATGCCTAGAATCAATAAATTCCCCAATCTTTGTCAAAGGTCTCTGTTATATGTATGCAAGGGCATGCCTTCAACAATTGGCCAAGTAGTTGAGAACTCTGTTTTCCATTCCTGCTTATGCAGAACCTCAAGATTAGCCAGCGGTAAAAACTTAGGGCCTGCTCAGGACTTTCCTGGGCCTGTTGATAGCCCTACACATATGTATGGCCTTCTGTATTTCCAAGAATATGTCAGAGCTTTTCGAAGCCCCCATGGATATCTCATTTCCTAGTTTTTAAGGTTTTTGGTTAGTCTTGTTTGTCCAAACTATTCATCACTGCTTCACATTGCTGCAAAGTTAAAACACTTGTTGTTATTTTTAACAAATTCTGCCCTCTACTTCACACACACACCAAGGAGAAGGCATTTTTTCACTAATGGGCACTCAGGTTGAATATAATCAGCCATCAGCCTTTTAAATGGGATCTTTCAGAGACCCACCAGACAAATAAAATGACAATTCTTTGGGAATAAAGTTTTGAAAGAGCTTCAGTTCTGTTCTGTTCTGTCTGGTGGCTGCCAGGCTGCACCAGGAATGTGGGCTGTTATTCTTTAAGTATAACATAGAGCTAGAGCAGGGGATGGGACAGGGGAAGTTAAGACACCACAAGGCTTGGGGTTCTTAAAGAGGTTCAACCATTTTATTTTATTTTTTTAAAGAATAAACACTCTCCAAGTGGCTGTAAGTCTTTGGTTAATTTCCAGAGTTCTGAAGAAAACTGATTCTGACAAGTTTTTACCAGTATTTTTATGGCTTTTATGGAGGGGTGAATTTGCTGATGTCTCTGACCTACACCTTTTTTTCTTTGAGTCAGGCTTTTGCTCTGTTGCCTGGGCTGGGGTACAGTGGCATGATCATGGCTCACTGCTACCTAGAACTCTCAGGTTCAAGCAATTCTCCTGCTTTAATCTCCTGAGTAGCTGAGACTGTGGGGATGGGCCACTATAACTGGCTACCCTTTTTCAATTAAAAAAATAATTTTTAGAGTTGGGGGTCTTGCTGTCTTGCTCAGGCTGGTCTTGAACTGACCTCAAGCAATCCTCCTGCCTTGGTCTTTCAAAGTGCTGGGATTAACAGGCATGAGCCACTGTGCTTGGCTTTTGACCTTATGTTTTAAAGATACTTTAAAAAATTATAAGATAATATAGAATGTGAAACATTGGCTAATGTGAATTACTTTACCAATATAAAAATAAACAAGTGTATTTTCTAATAAAGTAACAAGTTTTGTGGAGAGAGCAAAGTTCACTCAATTATTTTTTACGATCATGATTAGAAATATTAAAGCACCTGAGATTGTTGGTTGCTGAGGCTGGAGTGTGTCTGCCTCTCTGTCTCACTCTTTCTGTCTCTTACTTTCTTTAGCAAGTTAAAGGAAGGGCAAAGAAAGTCTGCCATTGTAACATTTTTAAAGAAAGACAAGTTATAGTATCAAAAACATCTGAATTAAATTCTTATCCAAAATGTTTGCCTTACCTACTTGCCAATAGTAATGGAGGTTTCTGATTGCTAAGGACTCAAATTGCCTTAAGATTATTTGTGAAATCATTTACTAATAATGCATATTTTATTTGATATGATAATGTGTTATCTTTTATTTTTGGATAGGCATATACAGTGAAGACACCAACAAAACTAAAACTACAGCAAAGAGAAAACCTGAATATACCCCCTGAAGAAAGTAATAAAAAGAGAAAAATGGCCTTTGAATTTGATATGAATTCAGATAGTTCAGAAACTACTGATCTTTTGGTAAAAATTTTACAAATAATGTTTATTATTTGTTTATCTTACTAATTTGAATACAATTTTTCTTGATATATATATATAACATAGTTACATAGTACCTACCATTGCAATACTGATATACAGTAGAGCTCTGCTGAAATGCAGATCCTTGTGCTTTTGCAGCATTTTAGAGACATTAGTGTTCAAATAATGTCTCTGTAAATTTCAGAAAATCTGGCACTTTGAAAATACTTGATTTGGCACAATGGGCATATATATGATTAATCATTGTCTTGTTTTCCAGCAGAATGTCAAAAGGAGTTCTTACTGTATTTTTAAAAAGACAGATGGGGTGAATATTTTTCATTTTGCTGTAGCCAAATCTGTTATTTAGGCATCCCCTCTATTTTGCGTATTATACATGCTCCTTTTACATCATTTGTTGATATTTATATCAAGGTATTGGTTGACAAGCATAACATTTCTACCACTCTAAAGAAGTTAATATATTAAGAACAACATGTTTAAGCAGGCTATTTCATCTAACACTTTGTATCACTAATTACTCTCATTCATATACACCACCATTTTTTGAAGGTATAATAATAGTTTTTTGAGATAATTAAGCTTAGATTCATTTAGTTTTTTTAAAAAGGTAAACCATACCACAGTAAATGGAGCAAAGCACCAGTAATTCTTAATTACAAAATCCTAGTTAAATTCATTAATTTTATTATTCCCATTTTTCACTTGAAGATCCTTCAAGCCTTTCTACTGCTTTGGGACCCTCTATTTTCATTTTTTCCGGAATAATGAGTAGTTGAAGTCTTAAAACCCTAATTATTGAAGTTAACTTACAAAGTCCCTACTTCAGTATCTCTTTGTTTTATAGATAATGATTAACATCTTAACAATTAAAACAGCGAACCAGGTACTATTATAAACACGTTATACAGCGCAGATTAATTATTTCTTATAACAATTTCAGGCTTTAGAAATAAAGTTGGCCTTCTGTATTCACAGGTTCCACATCTGTGTATTCAACCAACTACAGGTCAAAAATATTTGAAAAAAATAAAAAATAACAATTCAATAGAAAATAATATAAATAAGGAAGCAGTACAACATAACTATTTACATAGTGTTTACATCGTATTAGGTATCATAAGTAATCTAGAGATGATTAAACTATACAGGAGGATGAACATAGGTTATATACAAATATTACATTATTTTATATAAACATCCACAGATTTTGGTATGCATGGAGGGATCCTGGATCCAATCCCCCATGGATACTAAGAGATCACAGCATATACTGTTTTTTCCAGTTTACAGATGAGGTAACTGAGTCACACAAGTATATTTTTCAGTATCACATAGTAAGACATGGAGCCAAATTTGAACACAGTCTGGCTTCAGAGCCAATGTACGTCATTGCAAATAATAACTGCCAATTCAAACTGTAGTCTAGATATATAAAAATGTAATGAGAATTCGAAAGAAAAGGAGCTTTAGAATTAAACATTCTAGGATTGTAATCCTTGCTATTATTCTAGCAGTTTGAATTTAGGCCAGTTTCTTAGCTGATCTGAGACTCAGAATGATTGAACATGACATCATTTCATTTCTAAAAGGTGCATCACAAACTTGCAACACAATAAATATATTACAGTATTATAGAATTGCACAAAATTGTTTAAACTAGTCTAAAGTCACATTTCACCATGAGTTTCCTAGTTATAATTATTATATGAAACTATTCGTCATTTTGTAATTTTCTAAGCTCATATAGTTAAATTTTGAACATTCAAATTATAAAAATCAAGATTTAAAAATGAGTTGTTGAGCATGACCTCAGGAAGATGGTGTAGTAGGAAGTGCCAGGAATCCATTTCTCTACCTAAACAAGTGTACTGGCAGAAACTCTCTTAATTAACTATTTTATAAGTCTGCAGTCTTATTTGAATGTTTATAGCTTCCGGGGGAAGTTTAGCTGGTAAATTGCAGTAAATTTTGTCAATTTTAGCCTCAAGTATGATAGCAGCTACCAGTCTTCTCAGCCTACAGTCCTGTGGCAGAAAGCCATGCTTATGTTCCTTGAGTGACTTGCCGGTGTCAGAGGGTGCAGTAAGAACTTGTCCTTCAAATATCACAGTTCAGTGTTTCAACCCCCTTTGGCTGAAGCAACTTTTGGGAATTTACATGAAGCACACCTTTCTTTTTTTTTTTTTTTTTTTCTCTTTTTCCATCTTTACCCTTTGGGGAGCCAGGCACTTAAGGATTAGGATATTCAAAGGCAAAGCAAAAAAACTTTTCAGAATAAAAATTTGACATATTATGTTAAGACCTTAAAAATAATTAACATGTAGTCCCAACTACTCGGGAGGCTGAGGCAGGAGAATTGCTTGAACCTGGGACTTGGAGGTTGCAGTGAGCTGAGATTGTGCCACTGCACTCCAGCCTGGTGACAGAGTGAGATTTTATCTAAAAAAAAAAAAAAAAGAAAAAAAAATTAACATCAGTTTTTCTTCTTCCAAAAAGTTGAAGAGGGAACACCTCTTAACTCATTATATGAGGACAGCATTAATTACCTTAATACCAAAGCAGATAAAGACACCACAAGAAAAGAAAATTACAGATCAATATCTCTTATGAATTGGATGCTAAACTACTCAACAAAATATTGGCGAATTAAATTCAATAGCATATTAAAAATTATTTGCCATGACCAAGTGGAATTTATCCCAGGAATGCCAGGGTGGTTCAACATAAGAAAATAAAGCAATGTAATAAATCACATTAATAGAACAAAGAAAAAAATAGCCATATCATCATCCTGATGCAAAAAAAGGCATCTGACAAACTCCAACACACTTCATGGTAGAAAAACTCTCAGAAAATTAGGAATATAGGGAAAATTTCTCAATATGATAAAAAGTATTTATGGAAACCCCCAGCTAACATCATATTCAATGGTGAAAGACTGAAAGACTTACCCCCTAAGATTAAGAATGAGGCAGGGTGCCCACTTTCACTGCTGCTATTCAACATAGTGTTGTAAATTCTAACTAGAGGTACTATAAAAGAAAAAGCAATTTAAGGCATTCAGATAGAAAGGAAGAGGAAAAACTGCCTCTCTTTACAGATGATATGATCCTATGCATAGAAAATTGCAAAGACTCTTTAAGAAAGCTAGTAGTGCTAATAAATAAATTCAGCAAAATTGTAGGATACATCAACATTACAAAAATTGATTATGTTTTTTGTATACCAGCAATGAACAATCTAAAAATGACATTAATAAAGCAATTCTATTCACAATCTCATCTAAAAGAATTTAAATAGGAACAAATCTACCCAAGGAAGTGAAAGACTTGTGCACTGAAAATTACAAAACATTGGTGAAAGAAATTTTGAAAGACCTAAATAAATGGAAAGACATCCTATGTTTATGGATATTTATGGATAGGAAGTCTAAATATTGTTAAGATGTCAGTAGTATCCAAGTCTCCAGACTCAATGCAATTTCTGTAAAAATTCCAACAATTTTTTTGCAGAAATGGAAAAAATACTCAAATTAATATGGGATTGCAAAGGGCCCCAAATGGCTAAAACAATCTTGAAAAATAAGGATAAAGTTGGAAGATTCACAGTTCCCAACTTTGAAACTTACTACAAAGCTGGTAATTAAAACAGCATAGTACTTGTATAAGGTCAGACATGCAGACCAATGAAATAGAATAGAGCCTAGAGATAAACTCTCTCCTATATAGTCAGTTGATTTTTTGACAAGAGTGCCAAAACCGTTCAATGTAACATAGGATACTGGGAAAACTGACTGTCTGCATGTAAAAAAAATTAAGTTGGACCCTTTATATCATATGAAAAATGACTCAAAATGGATCAAAGACCTAAACTTAAGAGCTAAAACTATAAAACTGTAGAAGAAAGCACGGTAGAAATCTTCATGACATTGGATTTGGCAACAACTTTATGAATGACACCAAAAGCACTGGTAATTAAAGAAAAAGAAAGAAAAATTGGGCTGTATCAAAATTAAAAACTATTGTGAATTAATGTAGACCATCAAGAAAGTGAAAAGACAGGGTAAATAGTGAGGGGAAATATTTAAAACTCATATATATGATGAGGGATTGATGTCTAGGATATATGAAGAACTCCCACAATTCAACAGCCACAAAAAGACCCAACTGAAAAATGGGGGAAAGGATTTGAATAGCCATTTCTCAAAGATGAAACTTAAATGGGCTATGAACACATGAAAAGATGAATGCTACAGAGAGTCAATTGATACACACTGATACACATTGATACTGTAAAGGTAGCTCTATGACTTATTTATTGAATTCTGTTGAAATCTTAGATTTATAAAAATCTGTTTGAGATTTTTCATCCATGAAGCCTCTGAAGTTTTTGTCAAATGTGGCTTTAATGTGAACTGACTGCTTACATGACTTGTGTTTCATATTCATTAAGAGAATAGATTTTGGAGTCAGATTCCCTGAATTTGAATTTCCTTCCACTCTTCCTAGCTGTATAATCTAGGGTACATCACTTAATATTTGTGTGCCTGAGTGTCCTCACCTGTAAAATGGGGATAATAGTATACCTACTTTATAAAATTGTTATGAAGATTAAAAGGAATTAAAATATGCAAAGTGATTAAAATAGAGACTGGCACCCAGAAAGTACTAAATAAATGTTAGCTATCATTATGTGGGAGAATTACAATAATCATAAATTAAGTGACATTATAATTTTTATTTTTTATTTTGGTTTAGTACACATGACACTTACCACCTTAACCATTTTTAATTATACAGTTCAATGATATTAAATACGCTCATAATGTTGTGTAACCATCACCAGCATCCATCTCCATAACTCTTCATTACAACAAAAACCTTGTACCCATTAAACAATAACTCCTCATTCCACCTTCCCCCCAGCCCCTGACAGCCACCATTCTACTTTCTGTCTGTATGATTTTCTCTATGCTAAGTATATCAAGTAGAATCATACAAGATTTGTTCTTTTGTGACTAGTTTTTTTCACTTAGCATAATGTCTTCAAGGTTTATCTATGTTGTAGCATATGTCAGAATTTTCTTCCTTTTTGAGGCTAAATAATATTCCATTGTATGTATACACCACATTTTGCTTATTCATCCATAGATGGATACTTGGGTTGTTTCCACGTTTTAATTATTGTGAATAATACTGCTATGAACATGGGTATACAATGATCTCTTCTAGACACTGCTTTTCTTTTGAGTATGTATCCAGAAGTGGAATTGCTAGATCATAGATAATATTATAATTTTTATAGAATTGTAAATACTTATTATAAGTTATTAATGTGAGTTTGAATAAACAGGGTCAGGAAAGGAGGACAAGATGGTATTATAAAGACTCTGAAACTGAAATAGAAATCAGTAGGGAAATGCTGCTCACTATATATATCTTGTATTTCACATAGCCTTTCAGTAATATAGTTAATAGAATAAAAATCTAGGTCCTTGCTTGGCCAATTGGTTTATTTTGTTATTGTTTTCTTTGTTTGTTCTTCTTTCTTCTCGCTATAATCTTCTTTCTCTTTCCTCCTTCTTTTGCCCTTCTCCCTTCTTCATCCCTCCTCTTTCTACTCTTCGTTCTCCTCACATGTGATATGTTGACAAAATGTTAATAATATAATATTAATGATGGTAAGGCCAACATTATATTTTTGTATTTTTCTTCAAGAGCATGGTTTCAGAAGAAGAGACATTGGAATCACTACATAGGAACAGTAATCCACCAGCTTCTCATCTTTGTGTCAGAACACCAAAAAAGGTAGCTTTTAAATTTTACTTCAGAAAGCAAATTTTAAAAACTGCACTTAAAAAATGTTAATTTAAAAATTTTATTTTGTGTTCAGACCCCTTCATCTCTAACAACCCCTGGATCTACACTGAAGTTTGGAGCTATAAGAAAAATGCGGGAGGACCGTTGGGCTGTAATTGCTAAACTGGATAGGAAAAAAAAACTAAAAGAAGCAGAAAAGTTATTTGTTTAATTTCAGAGAATCAGTGTAATTAAGAACCTAATAACATGAAACTTAAGAGTTAATGTTTTTTTCTTATTTTCCAGAGCCAAATTTTATCTGGAAGTTGAGACTTTTAAAAAATATTTGCATGAATGATTTGTGTTTTTATTTTTAGCCTAAATGTGAAGAAACTACATATTGTCTGAAAACCTGCCATTATATTCAGATAATTAAATGATTATATTTGTTGTTACTTTTTCTTGTATTCATGAAAACTGTTTTTACGAAGTTTTCAAATTTGTAAAGTTAGCCTTTGAATGCTGGGAATGCATTATTGAGGTCATTCTTTATTCTTTACTATTAAAATATTTTGGATGCAAATAAGTGCTTCTCATTGATTCTGGTAGATCATATAAACAACTCATCATTATAATTTTGAGAGAATATTACTCGTTTTTAAAGTCTTGAGAGCATTGTAGTGGAGTTTTATACTTCTGAGGCAGCTTTGATTTTTTTTATTTTTTATGAAATTGACAAATGGCTTTTAGTGACAGGAAAAAATGGCTATACCAGTACAACTTCCTCAAATATTTCATTTATGCAACATTTATTAAGCAAATATTTATTGATGTTTACTAAGAGTCAAACAGAGTTCTAGATACTGGGGGTGTAATAGTGAAGAAAACAGGAACCTTTGTTTTCCTAAAGCTTACATTCTAGTAAGGGAAGTAGACAATTAAAAAAATAAATAAAACACAGTGTATTAGTTAATGGTAACTGCTAAGAAGAAAAAAACAGGGAAGAGTATTAAGGAGTATGAAGAAGCCTACGTTTTAGGTATGATATCCCTTACAGAAGTGACATTTGAATGAATATATGATTAAAACAGCAACTGAGCCTGGGGCTACCTAAGGGAATAGCATTTCTCACAGAAGGAATAGGAAATGCAAAAGCCCAGAGGTAGGAGTGTGCTTAACATATCTGGGAAGCAGCAAAGAGCCCAGTATTGGGAAGGATAGTGAGCAAAAGGAAGAGTAGAAGGAAGAGAAGGCCTGATAGTTAATGGGATGAGGATTTTGAGTGGGCAGATTATGTAGCACTTGTAGGGCACTGTAAGAACTTTGGCTTCTCTGAATATGTGACATTAGTAGATGATTTTCAGCATGATCCAACTTATGTTTTAACAGTATCTTTCTGGCTGCTATATTGAGAACAGACTGGAAAGAGGACATAAATAAACAGGAGGTTATTTTAGTAATGCCTGTGAAAGATGATATTGGCTTAAACAGGAGCAAGAGCTGCAAAGGAGTAAAATAGTCAGCTTTTGGATATAGTTTGAAGATACAGGTAGAATATGAAAGAAAAAGAATGGGCAATATTTTTGGCCTGAACAATGTAGTTTTGCACATGTTAGGTTTGAAATACCTGTTAGAGATCCAAATAGAGATGGTAAGTAGGCTTGAAGACAAGTCCAGACTAGTGATATAAATTTGGGAGTCAACATCATATTTAAAGCAATCAGACTGGATGAGAACGCTGGATGTATAGTCATCGGAGGGAGTGTACCTAGGAAAGAGGTCAGAGTGATGAGAAGGAGTCATCAAAGGACTGGCCAGAGTGGTAGTAAAAAAATGTAGGCTATGGTTTCTTGGAACCCAACCAAGAAAGTATTTCAAAGAGGAGGGAGTGATACATTGTGTTAAATGCTAATCAGAGTTAAAGTAAAATTGTTTAATATGTTATTAGTGTAGTCACTGGTAATCTTAATGTCAGTTTTTGTAAAGTGCAGCTTGATTGGAAGGGTTTAAAGGAAAAAGAGGAGAGTAAGCAGAGACACCTATTTCTATCAGTTATAATAAACTCAAGAAGTTATACTTCACATGAAGATGATAAATGGGGAAGTTACTGGAAAAGGAAGTGGATCAACAGATGGTTTTTTTGTTGTTGTTGTTAAGACGTAAGAATTAATAGCATATCCAAATAATTAGAGAAAGATTCAGAATGAGGAAAATGATTATGTGGGAGAGAAAGGGAAATTTTTTGTAGAATGCCTTATAATAGGCAAGAGGGATGGAGCTCAGTGGATAATTGAAACTGTTGGGCCTTCAGTAAGAGAATAGACACTTCTGCCATTAACAATAGGAAAAAAGGAAGAGTATATGGTACAAGATGATGATGGTAAGTGTATGGGAGTTTGCAGAAGTTTTGATTCCATAGTTTCAGTTTTCTCAGTGAAGCTGGAATTAACACCATGCACTGAGAATGAGGATAGGGAAGACACTGTTGGAGGTTGTGGAAAGAAAAGTAGGTGTGAAAGGCTCAGAGTAGGAAAGTGAATGGACTTTATGAAAACAATGAATACGTGAATAAAAATGATTTTAGAGTTATTTGTAAGTAACTATGGTGAAGTAAAATTTGAATCATCTTATTGTATGGATTGTGTTTGTAGAAAAGGTTAACCAAGAAAAAATGAAAATGCAATAACATTACAGAAATTATTTTGTTCTTCCTTTAATTTGTGTGACTACAATTATATTCTCTTAACTAGCCATGGTCTTGGGATTTCTAGCTTCTGATCTCTTAATTGAAACTTTATAATAAGTTTCCTAAGCAAACATTTTTGGAGAATTATTGGTTTTGAAAATGTGAAATTTCACATTTGAAGCTATATATTTTTGAATATAAATAATATAAATATTTTCAAGTATTTAAAATAATACATTAATCTATAAATTTAATATATTTTAAATTTAAATATTTAAAATAAGACTAATCTATTAAGCTATATATTTTCAAATATTTAGAATAAGACTAGCTGCTGTAGCTAACTATTCATTTACTTCTAACTTATCTAAAGTCCAGCATAATGTTTCTGTTTAGTGGGAACCATTCCTCCAGGCAGTAATTCAGGAACCCTGAGTCCTTTCAATTTCTCGTTCTCCCATCTTCAGAAGCTGGCTTCCAGGTTTATGCTGAAAGAGAAACACCATGGAGGATCCATATGGGAAGTTTCTAATGACCTGGGCATGAAAGAGATGTATAGCAATTCCTCCCACATTTCACTTTCCAGAAACAAGTCAATATGGCCACACCTAACTTCAGGGGAGACTGTGACCCATATTCGAGTTATCTCTCAGGAGATTAGGGAAAAGGGTAAACAACTAGCCAGTCTGTCACAATTAGTTCACAGTCTTTAAATTTTCAAATATCGTTCTTCCTTACTTTTAGTTAAAATGAGTTAGTTAAGGCTCTTAAATTTTGGAAGATTGCTTCTCCTTGCTGTTCCTTGAACATGCTCGGTATGTTCCTGTTTTATAACCCCTCTCCTTCCTCCAGCACTTCTTACTTCCCTTGTATCTTCTAACATACTGTATACCTTATTTAGCATGTTCATTACTCATTGTCTCTCCTCACAAGAATGTAAACTTCACAAATGGATTTTAGTCTGCTTTGCTTATTGATGTATTCCAAGTGGCTAGAATCATGCTGCCCATAGTAGGTACTCAATATTTGTTGAAGGTCAGGCACGGTGACTCATGCCTGTAATCCCAGCACTTTGGGAGGCCAAGGAGGGCGGATCACTAGGTCAGATGTTCAAGACCAGCCTGGCCAACATGATGAAATCCCGTCTGTAAGATACAAAAAATTAGTTGGGTGTGGTGGCACATGCCTGTAATCCCAGCTACTTGGGAGGCTGAGGCAGGAGAATCACTTGAACCCAGGAGGCAGAGGTTGCAATGAGCCAAGATCACGCCATTGCACTCAGCCTG